CTGTCTTCCTCCTCCTCCTCCTCCTCCTCCTCCTCCTGCTCTTGGAGCTCCTGGTCATCTGCCTGGAGTTGCGGCCACTGCTGCACAGGAGTCTCTAAGCCAGACTCCACAAGCCTCTCGGGAGGCAGGGGGTCCCCCCTTCTCTGTAGACAGGGATTCCCCTGCCCCCCAGGATCCGGTCCAGGTCCTTGCAGTAAGCACAGTAGTGTGCTGTTTCCCCAGAGCAGGAGCTGCGCTCACAGGCCCTGACGTATCCCTGCCACAGCTCCTTCACCTTGGCTCTGACCTGGGGTACGGTGCGGGGGCGGTGGCCCTGCCTTGCCAGGCCATCAGCCATTCTGCTGTAAATGACCGTGTTCCTGCGCCTGGTCTGTGGGAGCTGAGGAGCCTTCTCCTCAGACCACAGCTCCAAGAGGGCTTTGATCTCGGGCCCAGACCAGGAGGGTGCCTGGTGTTTGGTGCCCCTGGCTCCCTGGGGGGATGTGTCCCTGGAAGGCCCAGGGGTATTTGGGGGGGGGGGGGGCTTGTCCCTGGGACATGGCTCCGAGTTTCCTGACCTGACAGAGCTACGTGGTCTCAGGGTCCTGGCTGTAGCTGGCTTGCTACCAGAACGGTAATTCTGGGTGCCTGTGCCTTTTAAAGATGGCTGCAGGCAGGAACAATAGAGTTGAAAGCTGTGGCAGGAGTGTCCACCAAGGCTTCTTCCTGGAGGCCTTTGTCAACATAAATTCTCCCCTGCATCCACACTTACCGTTTGTCAACATAACTCTATCCACAAAGGTGTTATTCCTCATAGAATGAGGTTTACCACCGTCGACAAAACTGCCGCGTTCTGTCGACTTACTGTCAACATATCGCGGAGGCAGTGTAGACACAGGTGTAGTTTTGTCGACAAAAGGCTACTTTTGTTGACAAAACCCTGTAGTCTAGACACACCCTAGGACATCACATTATCATGAGGAACTAGAAACTGTGAAAAGTACTTGTGATTAAATGGATTCCAAAAGTGATTGTTAAATCTGCTGGTGGTTGGCAGTTTGCTGCAGTAGCTTGAACTATATAGGTACACTTGCATGTCATGTTTACTATTATTTGTTCAGCGCTGAATTAATAAGATGTTCAGAACATTTGTGCAAATATGCTAGCATCTTTGATTTACTTATGTAGTTAACCAATATGTTTCCTTAATTGCATCTAATCACCTTGCTTAGAATAGCATTTAAATTTGTTAGATTGATGGTTTTCTAATTTTAATAGATAAAAGCAAATTATTTTAGGTGGCTTTCTACAAACCATTTTCTCAGAGCTATTGAAAGAAATGCAACTACAGTTTACTGAAAAGTTATTTTATCATGTCATAGGTAGCAAAATAATAGGGTATATAATAAGCACAACTTTTATATATAAAAGTAAAACCTTCTAGTCAAGTCAGTGGCAAAAATCCCATTGATTTCTGTGGAAATAGCATTACACCATAAGAGAACACATAGAGTACACTGGCAGCGTCTTGTGCAAAAACTTGCCTGCTGTCTACACTGCACACGTGTTCTTGCACAAGTAAATTTACAGTACAGTGTCAGAAAACAGGGCTTCTTCCGGAAGAGTTATTCCTCTCCCCATGAGGAATAAGCCTTCTTGTGCAAGAGCTCTTCCACAAGAGGGCAGTGTAGACAGGCAACATGAATTTCTTGCGCAAGAAGCCCCTATGGTTAAAATGGCCATCAGAGCTTTCTTGCGCAATAGCGCGTCCACACTGAAAAAGCACATGGCAGTGTAGACGCTCTCTTGTGGAAGATTTTTTGCACAAGTACTCTTCCACAAAAGAGTTCTTGTGCAAGAAGCTGCCAGTGTAGACGTAGCCAGATTGTGTACGCCACGGGCACATCTACACTATACAATTTAGTGGATATAACATAGACCTGCTAGACTGAACTCAAAGTGCTCCCCTGTTGGCACTGGTACTCCTACTTCTCACAAGGAGTAAGGGAACCTGATGGAAGTGTTTGCTCCCTTTGTCCTCCCCCTGTGTGGATGGCATGGAAATGCGGTGTAAGATACGTTGACATTGATTTACGTAACTGGAGTTGCGTATCTAGTGTAGACCAGGCCTACGGGTTCTATCCTGCAAAATGCTGACTATCTCATGTACAGCATTCAGTGCCTTCAACCTCCATTTAAGTTAATGGGCACAGGCATTATTATTTGCTTACATAGGATGAATTCAGTGAAGCAGGATCAGATTCTTGTATAGCATTCCCATAAATAAGATGCAACAGAATTGCTCCTTACAAAAGTAAAAGTGCCCAGTTTAACAGTGTATTCTTAGAAATAATCATTTCTATGGAGACTCCTCTTTGACTATTTAATACTGCACTTTTGAAATTTCTGACCATTGCTCCCATTGGTGTCTTTCTGGTACAATTAATTAAATATGGACTTGAGTCCAAAGCTGCTAGAGTAGCTTCAAAGTGGAGACAAGCTCTATAGACAGCAGCTAGAGTATTGGATTTGGCTTGGGGTTCACAAAGACAATTATTTTCTTTGAAGAGAGGGCACTTTTCCATTTTCATACCAGGAATTAATGAACTACAGAGAAAACAACACTTTATTTACTGATTATTAGTGATGGGAAAACAAAGTCCAACTATTAAGCATCTGGTCAGATATAGTAAATGGTAGTAGCAAGAACAAATGATAATGCCATATATTAAGACTGCTAATATTAATTTCGATTGAGTAGCGTTGTGGTATTCTAATAAATATGCATATTAAAATATATGCATAGATCTTTGTGAGTTCAAGTTTCACCTACATGTGTGTATCCTCCACTAAATCACAGATCCAGATCAGAATAGTTGCATCTCTAAGGGTACGTCTACACTAGCCCCCTAGTTCGAACTAAGGAGGCTAATGAGGGCGACCGAAATTGCAAATGAAGTGCGGGATTTAAACATCCCGCGCTTCATTAGCATGTTCCCGGGTGGTCGCCATTTTGGAAACTGACTAGCCCAGAATAACTGCCTGCGTCTACACACGGCAGTGAAACGGGAGTTCAAAGTAAACCCTTAACTCGAATTAGCTGTTTCTCCTCATGGAATGAGGTTGCTGCAACCCCAGGCCAAAGAGGCCCTACAAAAATATCCAGACTTTTGGCAGTCCAGAGATCTTTTTTGTGGGGTGCCCCTTTGCCAGGGACCCTGTCTCCAGCCTCTAAAGCCCCCTTCTTAACCTGGTCCTGTACACATCACAACATCACCATCACAAATTGTGTTAATTGGTATCCTTGCTAGCTGTGTCAGCTGAAAAAAGAAGAGCAACATGACATTAAAGGGCATGTCTACATTAGGAAATTATTTCAAAATAAATTATTTTGAAATAGTAACTCCTGAAATAACTATTTCAAAATAGCATGTCCACACTATAGGGAAGCCTTGAAATTAGTCTGAGGTAGGCTTGCCTATAATGTGGATATGCTACCTTGACTTAGAGCACTGGGGAGTAATTACTTTGAATAACTCTGGGGAGTAGTTATTTCAAAATAGCAGCAGTGGCAAGTCCATACTACTGCTATTTAGAAATAACTATTTTGAAATAAGCATCATTCCTTGTGGAAAGCAGGAGTTATTATTTGGAAATAATCAGCCCCTTATTACAAAATATATAGTAGCCCAATGTCTGAGAGTCTATAACGCTGAAATGCTGACTGTTCCCTCTGGGCAATGCTGTTGCCTGAAATGCTGGCTGTTCCCTGTGGGTGGCGCTGTTGCTGAAATGCTGGCTGTCCCTCTGGGCGGCGCTGTTGCCTTAGTCACATCCTTTGCCTTCCTCTGTGGCGCTGGCTGACTTCTGCACTGCTCAGCCGGGCCGCTGCGGGGGAGCAAGAGGCACAAGTGGCTGTTTGGGCCCCATGCTTCCCATGCAGCACACTCCCCCTCAGCGGCCTGGCTGAGTGATGCAGAAGTCAGCTAAGCGCCACGGCAGGAGGCGAAGGGGGGCAGGGCGGTGTCGTGCGGCATGACAGTGGCTTCAGGCCGTTTGGGCTCTGCAGTCCCCCAAGTGAGAGGCAGGAGGGGAGAAGAGAAAGAAAGAGACAGAGAGAGAGACAGGAGGCAGAGGAGAGCTGAAAGGGGTGGGGAGGCAGTAGAAGGAGGAGAGAGAGAGACAGAGGCCGTGTCCAGACTCAGGGTTTTTTTCGGGAAAAGTAGCTTTTTCCCGAAAAAACTTCCCCTGCGTCCAGACTCAAGCCGCGTTCTTTCGAAATTATTTCGAAAGAACGCGGCTTTTCTTTCGATGGCGGTAAACCTCATTTCACGAGGAAGAATGCCTTCTTTCGAAAGTTCCTCTTTCGAAAGAAGGCGTTCTTCAATGTAATGAGGCCGTCTTCGAAAGAGAGCATCCAGACTCGCTGGGTGCTCTCTTTCGAAAAAGCGGATTTCTCTTTCGAAAGATCCGCCTGCAGTCTAGACGCGATCTTTTGAAAGAGGCTCTTTCGAAAGATGCTTTCGAAAGAGCCTCTTTCGAAAGAAGCCTGCAGTCTAGACATAGCCAGAGAGAGAAAGAGAGACAGAGCGAGAGACTGGAGGCTCAGGAGAGAAGACCGACGTGGAGGAGAGACCTGAACATCCTGTCTTATGACGGGCTAATTGGCTAGTTACAAAATAATGGGCTTGGTTGTTTTGAAATAAGGGAGGTTATTTCAAAATAACTTCCTAGTGTTGATCAGAGTAAAGTGAGCGACAGTATCTTCTGAGCCCTAGAAGGGTCCCTTAGATCAAGATTGAAGCATAGACTGGGGAAGCTTACCCTGAGCCATCCAAACTGCACACATTTTGTAGACTGAGCAAATGCCATTCTTCAAGATGTCAGTGGAACATTGCTCATGAGAACAACATTCCTCTTTTTTTTTTTTTTTTAAAAAAAAGGGAAAGCCTCCAATAACTAACAAGGGGTAATACAGTTTGGAATTCTAACCGCGCACTACTTTTGTTTGCATATTTCAGAGTTGTCAGTAATAGCAGCTATTCACAAACAGAACAAGAATCACGTGCATGGGTAAAACAAGGCCTGCATCATAGACTGCCAATGGAAATACACACCACTCAGGCAACTACAGAAAAAATGTACAGATTTCTTGCACTATGGAAATAAGAGAATTATCAGTTGGGAGATGGAAAAAGTCCCTGCCAAAGGTACTAGTTCTGAATAATTATGTGTTTAATATAATTAATCATGTTTATTAGTGTAGTGCCTAAGCCTGAGCCTAGAATGGATTAGGGACTGTAGACACACAGGGTAGAAGGCACTTCCTCCCTGGAATTGTTTACAAGCTACTCAGGGAGGAAAGAAAGACAGAACACATAAACCGAGTGCACAATGTGATGGTGTCAAATGGTATAATAATTCCCTGGTTTTTTAAATATATTTTATTGGTGGATTTAGTTAGGCTGGATTGGCTAAATGGAAAGAAAAGGGCTGAGAGGATAGATGTGGACCTTGATGTGAGGAGCCCTTCTCTAGGGCTGAGGGGGATAGATGTAAAGCTGACCTGAAGAGACAGGGTTGGAGCAAACAGTCAATAGCCCAGGGCAACGAGATTCCAGTCAGAACTGTAGAAGACGCGCTATACGTCTGGAGGTTCCTGCTTCAGTTGCTTCTGCTCCTACTGGTTGGAGTATGTGACTTCTGGCCCTTAGCTGCACTTGTCCAACAGAGCCATATAGGGACAGGGTGTGGGGAGGTGTCTCCTACACAGTTCTGGGTGATGGGGCCACAACTGGGCCCCATTTTACCTGCCCCTCGCCCAGTGCAGTAGGATATGCTTTGACTATTTATAGTGTGGTAGGATTCAGGCCCCCACCACAGCCCCATAGCACAAAGTCCTGTACTGAACACTACCGAAGAGAGAGTTTCTGCCCCAGAGGACTCTCAAGCTGTGTGTCTGACAGGATACAACAGATGGAAGAAACAAGCTGGGTGAGAAAGGGAATTCATAAAACAGTTAGCAAAAGTCCCAGTGCTGCCACTTGCATATTCCAATGCCAGATGGGAGTGAGGCATAGCTATTGCAACAGAAGATATTCATCTTGGGATTCATGTAAGTGCTGCAGCTGGGATTTGCTCCCTTCACTTCTCCCATCTGCCCACTCCCATAAAAAAACCCAATGCAGTATGCCAGGCCCCATGAGGGTTCATTGTCCTGCACTTCCATTGTTCAAGCAAACCTGTATCACATAGTTATGCATTTTATTTCAGCTCTTATGACTCTTAAATAAATATGATGGAAGGAATGTAGGACAAGCTTTTGTTATGCTGCATTAGTAAGTAACAACAATATCAAGCATTAAGGCAGGCAGCACTACTATTCAGTTCCCCAAGGGGATTTTTTTTCCTCTACTATAATTTGAAGAGGAGAAGACTGTGATTTCTCTCAAGTGCAGGTTGCAGAGCTGCAAATGTTTTAGCAAATGTTATTTTTGGAAGTTAGTATGAGGGTGATAATATAATTAGTAACGGTGGGAAATGCCATCATTGACAGAGAAAAATGAGAAGCCCTCCCATCTGGCAGGGGAAGGAGTCTGCTGGGGAAAGCCTTGTGCTATGTGATCTTGTCAATCAAGTTGTGTCACCCAAGATCTCAAATACCTCATAAGATGAAAAATGATCCACAAGTGTGGCAGAGTGACTGCCCTTCTAATTGTGGTCGGGACATGTCCTCATGGGGACACCCAGGAAAGCTAAACCAGATTAACTAAAGGTTTGAATTTAAGGCAGATTAAACTGGGGGAGGGGAAAGAGCACTGTTGGGAATAATTCTTGGACACACTGGGTGCAGGTGAAAACAAGCAGAGGATTTATTGAACACACAGCGCTAGTGGAGTGTGGGGTTAGCCCGGAGAGCACTAACTTAACCAAAACATACATTAGATTATATAGGTAGCAGATGGACGGAGGAGAAGTGATTTGATAGGTCTAGCAGCGGAAGTGAGATATGCGCATAAGCCAATGGTCTCCGACAGTTGCACAGCATCTTCGCCCATTGCCAATTAAACATGTTATCACTAATACAGGTAGTTATTCCTAACAAGCTAAATGAGCCAACATAAACAAAGGCATGTGGGTGGTCATTTTGTCTGCCGAAAATATACTGCATCTCCTGCGGGGGTGGTATTGCCTTGGCGCGATCTTTGGGATCCAAGCTTATTTTCTAGGAACAAAGCAGACAATGAAAAACAATCCTGCGTGGTTGTTTGGTTGTTTGGTACTGGTCTTATCAAAGTGAGGCCCTTTTGGAATGTGGTTGCCAGAGGAACCAGGGTCACGGTAACTGTTGAACTGTAGGCTTCTCAGGCTTGGCCTGATACTTTCAGATTTGAGTTTGTCAGTTCTCAGCAAGATACCATGGGCTGCCTCAATTTACCCTACAAGCACTCTCTTTCAGAGGTAATGCTATATCTACACAACATCCTCTGTCAGTGAATTTATGATGCTCGGGGGTGTCAATGTTCCACCCACACAAGTGAGATAAAGTAACTTTTACAGGCATAGCACTGTGTCAGCAGGACAGCTTCTCCTGCTGATGTAGCTTATGCTAGTCCTGGAAGTGGTTATTTATGCTGATGGGCCAGCATAGGGTTGTCTTCACTGGGCATGATACAGTGGTACAGCTGTATCAGTACAACGGTGCTGCTGAACAGACATGGCCTAAAGTGGCTTCAGTTTGCTTTAGTGTAATCCCCTCTGAAGGTAGCTTGACTTCTGAATGAGACCGTCCTCATGGATTTAATGCCCTTTAACTAATGTACTTTAGAGAGTCACCTTTAATTTTCCTTTTAATTTTCCCGAGTGTTCCAATGTACATATGTCACCTCAGAGAGCAGAGGAAGAAATTGCATGTAAAGAAAATAATCTCATTCCAATAGGGAACCAAAATTTTCACTGAAGAAGCAAACTGTGCCAGCTATAGTCAAAAAAGAATACCTCCATTGTGAAACAATGCGTTGCCGGACATTTCTTCCCTCTATAACTCTGGAGACTTTTTTGCCCCTCTCAAAGAAGGGTCTCTTTCCCCTCACTCCCATATATACATTGTATGTCAACATGGGGACACGCATATATTCATGCATACGCAAACACAATTATCTCTATATAGTATATGTATAAGCTCATTTTCTCACTCGCTCTTGATAGATATGATATCCTAAAAATAAGTTTTGGTTTTCTTCATTTAAATCATTGCTCTGAGATAGAGCTGGAGATGAGGGGCTAAGGATGCAGACTGCTGTGGGGAGAAAGGACAACCACAACCCTCTCTCACCCCAGCAGCTTGGATGAAAAGCTCCAGTCCATTGCTGCTGTAGCTCCAGTGGTCATAACTGGGGAAGGAGTGCATGCCTCCCCCCTCCCCCAGCTGTGGGATGGACACACAGGCAAACAAACACACAAAAAGAGATACTCTCTGAAATATATAGTAGATAGCTGCCCCTTTCTTTACTCCTGCCCCCTGCTGATCCAATGGGGTTATAGCTGTCCTGGTCCCCATCTCTACCCCCTTGCTGCCCTCTGTGGTCCTTCTGCAGTATAAGTCCCTCTTACCACACCCCTCCCTTTCCATTTTATGAGAAACAATTGAATTCTGGGCACATCCCATTCTCCTGGTGCAACCAAACACTGATCTTGCTTTCAGTTATAGTAAGAGGAAGCTGCATACCAAAATTGGTAGTCTTAGCTCTTACCATTTAGGCGTTCTTGAATAAATGGATTCACAGACAGACAGATGCACAGTTCTAAAATATATAGTAAAATATAAAGTGGGGTGTCTGTCACACACATGTTTATTGCCCTTTCCAAAAAGCCCATCACAAACATTGTGTTATCAGATTTTGTTGGCTTTTTGAAGCCTCATACTAGTTGAAGAGTAAAGCCAATAAGAAAGAACCCTGTGGAACTCACAAGAGAACTCAGAATGAAATGCTGATCATTTTCACAACAAATATCACTGAAAAATATCCTTAATATTTGGGCAGCTCTGGTTCTAACACTCCTGCTCATCTTTCACAGCCAACTGCTGATAAGTTGTAATTTATGTCATAGAGTAATCTCAAAGCTTACCATTCAAAACTGCAGTTAAGACCTGCTGGTGTCATTTATCTCAAATATGTTCCTCAGGAGGCTGATAGAGGACACACTCTATCATGTAGTGTTCAAGTGTTTGTTAGATTCTCCACATTCACATGTGGGGCCATTCCTCAGCTTCCACTTGTTTATATTCTCACCAGTCTTTCCTATCATTTCTCTCACTCATTTTAGAGCACACCAGTGTCCCTCTTTGAGGTCAGTGTATGAAGGGTGTCGTTTTGAAGGAACTGGTTCTCCAAGATCACTGGCATTTCCTGCCATTTTGTGACCTCAAAATACTACAAAGTAAGGGATTTTCAGGGGGAAAAGCTTTTTTCTCATCTTCAGCAGTACAATGTGACCCTGAAGTGGATTCTTTAGTCATGCACCTGTTTTTGTATCTCCATTTTATTGAAGGCATCCTGTCTCAGTGATGGTACAACTGAAGATATGCTTATTTCATAGTGCTGGAAGAGACCTTGAAAGGTCATCCAATCTAATTCCCTGCCCTCACAACAGGACTCAGTACCATACCTGACAGATTTGCCCCAAATGGCCCCCTCAAGGATTGAGCTCACAACCCTTGGTTTAGCTCTTGGAACTAGCCTTCTCCCTCCCCCGTCCCATATAGCTACTGTGCAGGAGTGCATTTCAAAGTCCTAGGAGTAATTTTACAGGATTGCGTTCCACATCAATTTTTTGTGCATACCTTGAGCATGGCCATACTGAGGCACAATACTTTACAAATCAGTGACATAGAGTGACACTGTTGCTTGGAGTGTTTGGGAATCAGTTCCCCATTTTGTGTTAGTGAGTTACTGGAGCACACAATTCCTAGAGTTTGCTTTTTTCTAGCTCCATGATGTACTCTTTGAATATTAGCATTTAGTATAATGTGACACCAGCCATGCACAGTTCTCAAGGATTTATCTGATGTTTTTGCTTGGCTGACAATGTTTCTAGTGGAAGGAACACACTTGAATCTTCTACTCAAGGACTGAAGAACAATTACTATTTTCCAAACATGTTCAGCTTGAATGAGCTTAATGCCCTCAAAGCTTTCCAGCTGAATAGCAATGCAAAGATCATTTGCATAAATGAATCTCCACACATCAGGGAATTCTGGTTGGTCATTGGTATACTCATTAGGCAGCAAGGGTGACAGTTCTGAATCCTGGAGCAGTCCACTACACTGAACACACCATCAACTTTTCTGGCTATTATATCAACAAAGAAACTTTGATTCTCAAACAGAGATGATGAACTCAACCATCTTGCTATTTCTCAATTCTTTTGCCAGTTTCAGTAGAATTGTATGGTGGTTCAGTGTCATAAGCAGCCAGCAAATCATCAAACACAGTCCCTGTAACTTTAAAGTTTTCAAAGCCATCTTTTACGTAGCGAGTTGTCCACAGCATGAATGTCCTGGGTGAAAATGACTTGATCATCAGTCAGGGTATGTCTACACTACCCCGCTAGTTCGAACCCCGTGTAGCGCGGCTACACGGGGCTCGAACTAGGTAGTTCGGACTAGGTTCCTATTCCGAACTACCGGTACACCTCATGGAGGAATCCTAGTCCGAACTACCTAGTTCGAGCCCCGTGTAGCCGCGCTACACGGGGTTCGAACTAGCGGGGTAGTGTAGACATACCCTGACTGATGATCAAGTCATTTTCACCCAGGACATTCATGCTGTGGACAACTCGCTACGTAAAAGATGGCTTTGAAAACTTTAAAGTTACAGGGACTGTGTTTGATGATTTGCTGGCTGCTTATGACACTGTTCTGCAACTTGTGCTGTATCATGCACTTATATAGTTTTCAGGTTGAGCTGAGAAAGGCTATTGGGTGATAACACTTTGCAGAATTAGAGTTTTTATATGGGTTAAATAGTGCAATCCCTTTGGCTGTCTCCATAGCATGGGTACCTGCATTGTCTCTATGTGGGAATTAAGGAAGTTAAGCAACTATCATCCTAAAGTGTGGTAATAGTTCATTAGAAGTGCAGGTTAGACCTCCCTTAGATTAGACCCTCAGGACCTGACCTTGGCGATGGAGCTCCCCAGCCACCGCGGCCCCATTTCTCCTTCACCTGACCGGGGATCCCCACCTGGGACGAGGCTTGCCTTCTGCCCCACTTTTGCCGCTCACTGGTTCCGCTGCTGCCCCACCCAGCTAGGGCTCCCCAGGGATGGGGCTCCCTAACCGCATGGCCTCACTTCTCCCCCATACAACTAGGACTCCTCAGGAACAGGGTTCTCACTCCACAAGGTTCTGGGGCTCTCTGATCTGGCAACATTCCGAAAATCTCAGATTTCAGAGGTTCAACCTGTACTATTAAGTCCAGTTATCTTTCCACTTTCACAGTTTTCATGGCTTGACATGAAAACTGCTCATACTGCTGAGCTGCTCGCTGTAGAGTTAGGGTGTCTTAAAGTGAAAGAGTCCTCATACCCCATTAGTTAACTTCTTTTGGTTCTTATGCAAATCCAACCCTTACCTTATTTTTAATTGTCATGAGACTTTCTGTAGTCTGTGTGTGCTCCTTACTCTGTCACTGTATTAATTAAATGAAATTATTTTCAAACAATCTACCACCATCATATTTCCATTGTCATTTATCTCAAGTTTTAACATCTCTCTTTTCTTGTTTCCCTTTTTAGTGACCTTCCTTTAGCCCTGTGGAATTGGTTTAGAGCATGTAAGTAATCTCAATGACTTAGTAACAAATGGAATTTAAAAAGTTAATGATTACAACTATTATGGGACTTATTGGCTTATGCTAGTCTGTGCTGGCTCTGTACCGGCTCTGTACCATCAGTAGTAGTTAAATGATAAGAACATTAAATAACAGTTACACTCCACTGCTCTGACAACATTGAATGCCAATATGAATGTAAAACAAAGAAAAGTTTCTCAGTACAGCTTATCATTATAACAAGCCCCCTTCAATGTATTCTCAAAAATAAATACCTCATTTGAGGAGAAATGTATCACTTTAACAAGAATCCATGTATATATTTATCTTGCTGTTTATAGGGCCAACCCTTAGCTCCCTGGCATTTGCTAAACTGTTTTGCCTAAGGAATGAAGTTGATATTCTGAGGTACTTCTTTAAAAAATACATATTAAACCATGCCACAAACATTTATCTGAAAAAAATCTCTCTTGTAACAAGTTTTAGTTGCTTCTTTGGAACAGAGAAATACAATTATTAGGCACAATTATAAAAGAAATTTATTGACCTGATACCCAATGAAATCAGTGAAAACAGATGCATATTTCTGCAAATATACTAAAATGTTTTCTTAATTCAGAACAAAGCAAAAGCACTTATATGGATTATAAGAGCCCTTGCATGGTGCTATCTGTGGACCTCAAGCTAGATCCAGTGACTCGGAGTTAAGTTTACTCAACATTTCTGCAGAATTTTTGCAAGTTAGCTGCAAAATACAATACCAGCATGCGTTGTACATACTCTACTTTTTTTACCACTGTGTTGCTGTTGATCTATCACTAGATGCTTTGTTCTAGTATGGTGGGAGAGTGGATGTTATTAAGGATAGAGGGCCGATTCTTATTTCACATACACTATTTGTATACTCCCATGATACCACAATTTTCAGTTGTAGTTGCTCTTAATTTATAGAAATGAAAGAAAAAAAAAAAAAGAGAAGAAAATCAGGAAGTCCATAGCCCAGTTGCAATATGACTTTTTAAAAATTATTATGATGGCTTCTCTTTTATGAGTGCTGCTTTTCATACTGCACTTCATTTTCTCCCTGAACCATTGTGCCAAATTCTGATAGCAAAAGAATGTCTATTGTTAAGAATGTTAATCCCTGGCTGTACTATATGAATAACTAATTTGGGTTTTGACCCTCTCTTCTAAATTAAATCTGGTGAATAATTAATCAGTTTCAAAAGATTCTAAAAGTACCTGTGATTCATAATCTGTTGTTCCTAATGTTTTAATTGAAATCAAAATTCTCTTTTCCATTTCTAGTTTGTTTGCTGCCCATCCTTCTCCTTCTCCTTCTCCTTCTCCTTCTCCTTCTCCTTCTCCTTCTAAGACCTTCTTTTACTCATTTGGTATAATGAGTTTGTTTGCACTTTAAAAAATAAACTATTCTATTCTGTTTCCTTATTCCTTTTTTTTACTCACACTCACTTTAGTATGCTCCATCAAATGCATCCATTACTGATAGTGTTCGTACAAAATAGTAGTTAAAAATCATGTTGAGGTCCCAAATGCTTCTACCTACTTTCTGAGTTTACTGAATAGTTTCAGTGCCCTCCTAGCAAAATGGAGGTTACATTGGGATTGTACTGCTAAGATATATCCTCCAGAGACTTCTTACTACTGGGGCCTCAGTCTGACCCTAGAAATACTGCAGAAGTGGAAACTGAGGAAAGGGAATCTACAGGGTTTTTTTTTTTTTTACAAGTTCTGAAACTTTAAAAAAAAATTATTTGTATACTGTCCTTTATATCTTTTTATGTGAGTTTGATTACTAAAGAGTGATGAATTTGAACGCCTGTCAAGGAAATGCATAACCATCTCATATGGGAGTTCCATCAAATATTGTGTATATTATTTGTTTTTCTGTATGATAAATCAGCTTTATTTCATTAGTTATTTTTTAGAAAGTCATCACTGAGTGAGTCCTTTAACGCATGGAAATCATTTTGCTTTCTTACCTTATAGTTCTGCATCACATGGTTTGCCTGGATAAGTAACTTGTCCCAAAACCATGTCAGCCATCAAAGGATCAATCAATTGTTCAGCCATTTTTTCTGCACAGAGTTAATATTTCTAGAGATCCCAAAAGAAATGTGCTGGTCCTTTAAATTCTACAAAAGAATGAGGCAATATATGGCCACAGAATAAAATGCATTGTATACATGGGCTGTTTACAATGCACTATGCTAGGTACAGGGCTGTGGAGTATTTTTAACAGTTACTGCACCAAGTACAAATATGTTATTATGACCCAGTGGAATTTGTACAATGTCTGGGGAGAAAAGAGAAAGAAAGAGAAGAAGAACACAAAAATGACTGCATAATGCTGTTCTACTATACAATCAACATTACTACTTTAACACACAAAATATGCTTGGCAAAACATGTGCTGAGTAAGTAAACCGTTAGTGATCCATTTGGGATTGTACATTACTTTGAAATTAATTGTTTGTGCAGAAAATCTTCATTTTTAAATGGCTTCTGAGAGACCTGCTGTGCTGTTTGACTGAGTAAATGATTTCTGCTTCTTTATCAAACAGTGCAATGACATTTAGAGGGAAAAAAGAAGAATGAACCAGTATTGCTCTCCCACTTCCTGTAGCCTCACAAAATGTCATTTGTATCATGCTGGGAGTTAGTCATACAGCAATATAAAACACTTAAAATGTTTTGACTTCTGAAGTGCTTAGATAACTTAGTTTTTTTAAAAAAAAAAAACCATGCGGCCATCACCTCAGCTGAAAGTCAGTGGAGGATAAACAATATATCAGAGGATCTGGCCCATTGTTTTGTTTCTTTCAACTATAACAAGTTTTTCAGCAAACAGTAAAATGTGTTTCCAAACTTTATTCCACAAGGACATCCCCTGTCCTGTTCTTGTTGTCCCTGCATTTTTTAAATCTTTGTTTTTTTCCTGTCCAAATCCTTATATTGCAGTGTCCAACTCACTTCATAACGAAGGCTGTATAAAGCTTCCTTTGGAGCTCATCAGCTGGTGGGAAGGCTCACTACTGAGTAACATGAGATGATCTTTCCCCTGCAAGAATTTAGAGCTTTCTCTCCACAGGTCAAAGCTCATGCTACCCTAGGGAGAAGTACTGATTTTTTTTTTAAATGTCAGCTTCCTCATATCCCCAGGTCCAAACAGAAAACTACGGAGGTAGCCTGAAAATGTGTTTTTATGTTCCTCAGGGGTTCTTTTTGTTCCCCCTCCTGTTTTTTATGAGGAGCCTTATCTTTGGGTAATCTCTTCTGCAAACATAATTCAACTACCATCTCTATGTGATTCATTCTCAGATCCACCTCCTTACTCCAGACCTGGAGCCTTCTATCCAAACTAAAATCTCGGCCTTTCTCTCTGACATCTCTGTATGGATATCTAGCCATAAACTCAAATTCAACACGGTTAGAACAGAGCTTCTAATCTCCCACTCTAACCACACACCATCCACCTTTTCCCATACTCTGCCCACTGTGGACAACACCACTATCCTGCCTGTCACTTAGCCTGTAACCTTTATGTAGCCTACAATCAGGACCTTTCACATTCTGACTACGTCTCAGTCTTGCTAACACTTTCTGCATATTTTCTGCAAAATACAGCCTTCACTATCCATCCACACAGCTAACTCTCTCATCCAAGCACTCATCATCTCACATCTTGACTACTGTAACATCCTGGTCTCTGCCCTTGACAAATGCCATCTTGCACCACTCACATCTGTTCAGAGTGCTGCTGTAAAAATTGTTTTCCTAACCCATCACTTTGATCATACCATCCATCTCTTTTGCATCCCTCCATTGGTTCCCCACTTCCTTATTGTATCAAACATAACCTGCTTGTTTTTACTTTTAGGGACCTTCATAACCTATCCCTCCCCATTCAGCAGGTCAACTTACACCTCTGATCAAATCCAATGTTGCCAGCCTCAACCATCCACATTTAAATTTTCAAGCAAGCTAACACAATATTCTTCTTCAAAACCCTCCTTTCAAACTGTCCATGAAACCTATAAAAATGATCTTTTTTACAACTGTTAGGTTGCTGGTGTGCTGAGAGCTAACCCAGTGTTTCTCAACCAGTGGTACGAATACCCTGCGGGGTACTCAAGAGAAGTCTGAGGGGTACGTCAACACAACTGAAAATTATAGAAAACTGAATTTTTGTTTTACAGTGCTTTATTATTTTTGTTTCTTTTACACCCCAAAATTTCATCACCCGTCCGGCTACGATTAGGTTTTTTAAACAAATATGTTGCAATGGTAGAAAAAAAATGTGTGTGTCTGAAAACTGTAGTTACTGGGGGTACTTATAATTTTTTAAAGGGGTGCTTCATAAAAAAAGGTTGAGAAACACTGTGCTAACCAGGGTTGTCATATTTTGCTTCCCTCTCAGCAGGTTTGTGTCCATCTATTGCTTATACTTAGGTAGTATCTTTTGTGTGCATGTGCATGCATGTATGCAGTGCCTAGAGGGTTCCTAGACATGATAGTATACAAATAATAAAATGAGCTTATATTTTTGTACCTCAGTTTTACAACCCAATCCCTGAAGTCTTGTCATGGCCATCAACCCACTGATTATTGATGGCTAGCTGATATTCTGTTTGGAGCCATTTAGCACAACTGATTAGTTTTGCTCAAGGTACATAAGAAGCTTTGTGTTGAGATGTCTCCTCTCCTGTGAGGAGTCAAGCAGTCATGCTCAAATCCCCCTCAGCCTTTTTTTGGCTCAAAGAGAGGAGAGCAGAAAAGGAAATTTAACTTATGTCTTCCATATGGCAGCAAGCTACCACCCCTCTATCATTAAGTAGAGAAAATCAACCTTAGATCCACAGTCCTCACAGACATACTTCTGAGAACTGGTTCTCTAGCATGTTAAGTCAGGAAGGGTAGAAGTCCCTGTGGGACTTAGAAGACCAAGGCTCACTTCCTTATTCTTTCACAAGCTTCGTGTGCCCTTGCCCAAATCACCTGCTATCTCTATACTTCAATTACCTATCTGTAAAATGCAGCTAATAGAACATTCCTAACTCATACTATGGGAAGGGGGCATGTAAGCCCCTTAGGTATGTTTGTGTGTCTCATATTTCAGAGAAACTTTTGCTTTATGCTTCTAGTACCCCATATGTTTTCATCTCGCCTTTTGTCTTTGTTCCACTTCTTTATGGTGTAAGCAAAATGTATGAGCCCCATTTACATATTTCTCCTCATTTTTTTAATATCAGACTTAGATTATTTTTGTTAAATGAAAAGTTAAGTTTAAAAATAATAATCCCCTTACCCAAAAGGAAGAAATGGCAGCTTTACTGCAAAACAATGTTAATGTAGTGTTTTTGCAACTGCAAGGCTATCCAAAAGTATCCTGCAGTGAAAGACTGTGGTTTGCCAATGAACAGACATTAGCACAGTTGTCAGACAATAAAGTAATATTACAGCAGTTTTATTCCTAGAAAACAAATTTAAATACAGTGGGCCAGATTTACTCCTAAAACTGCAGTAATAATAATAATGACTATACTTAGCTCTTTATTCACTTTCCATTGGTAGAACTTAAAGTGCTTTACAAAGAAGGATTTCATTATCCCTGTTTTACATACGAAAAAACTGAGCAACAGAGAGATGAGGTGATATCCCCAAAGTCACCCGCAGGTCAGTGGTAGAGCTAGGAATAACTCAGATTTCCTGAGTGCTAGTTTAGAGCTCTATGTAATAGAATACACCACATCTCTGTAAGAGGCACAAATTTGGTTCAGGCATACCACCTTAACAAGACACAGAACATACCTCTAAGGTTATCCCCAAATCATGGGACTCACTAGAGTAAGAAACAAAAGACAGAACTATGTAGCACTTTAAAGATGTAGGCTGTATCTAGACTGGCAAGTTTTTCCGCAAAAATCATCTGCTTTTGCGGAAAAACTTGCCAGTTGTCTACACTGGCTGCTTGAATTTCCGCAAGAACACTGACAATCTCATGTAAGATCATCAGTGTTCTTGCGGAAATACTGTGCTGCTCCCGTTCGGGCAAAAGCCCTCTTGCGCAAATAATTTGCGCAAGAGGGCCAGTGTAGACAGCACAATACTGTTTTCCACAAAAAAGCCCTGATGGCTAAAATGGCGATCGGAGCTTTTTTGTGGAAAAGCGAGTCTATATTGGCCACGGACGCTTTTCCGCAAAAAGTGCTTTTGCGGAAAAGCATCCTGCCAATCTAGACGCGCTTTTTCCAAAGACATAGCCTAAGTGCTACATAGTTCTGTCTTTTGTTTCAGCTACACCAGACTAACACGGCTGCATCTCTATCACTAGAGTAAGAAAAGTGATGTTTCACACACACACAAAACTGTCTATTTTCAGTTTGGGGCAAAATCTGAAATGTAAATGACAATTTTCATAAAAATTGTGAAAGCTAGAAAAAACTGATGTTTCCCCACCTTTTTCTGATTCCCATTGAGCAGATGTAACTGTTCACAGTGGAATAATAAGAAATCTGCTGAGTTACCAAAAGTGAAAACCAGATTGATGATATTCTGTTGGTAACTACACTAGTGCCATAATAATTACAGAATTTTCCTAATAGATCAATACAAATAGCTTTGGAAAAGAAAAGAGATGCAACTGAGGTTCACTACATAAGTAACGCCATTAGTCAAAATATGGTAATATTAATCCTATGCAATGCTGCAATAAGTTTATACCTTATAATGTCAATTTGTAGTTTATTTAAATCTATGTCTAAGTGACATAGAAAACTCAATTTTATTTCCAATAGTAGCTTAGCCACTTAGGCACCGATTTTTAAAGGCAGTTAGGATTGTGGCTCTTAGTATGCAAAGCTTAATGGATTTAGGGACCAAAATCTCATTTTCAGAAAAGATTTAGGCACATAGGTGCCAGAATCCTATTATGCTACGTGCTTATCAAATGTGGACTCTTTATTGAGAATTAATTAGTATTGTTTAGTATTACAGAGCCATAGCCCATCAGTAAAAAAAACTGGTAAACAAGTTTTAAGATTGACTTTTCAGCAAGAAGAAGGAAATATTATTCAGTCAAGATGATATGATTACTTCTTTCATTCACTTCATTGTTTATACTTCAAACATTGTTACATTGACTGGTACTATTTTCTCCATTTGATAGCTTACAAGAAATTGTCATCGGAGTCCACAGATCAAATGAAGCCTATGTAATTTGCAATATTAAAACAGGTATTTTGCTACTGACATGGGCATTGTCCTTAATCTGGTAGTTTACCATTAATTTAACATAGGTTGGGGATTTTTTTGATCTGTGAAAATGTGTGCCTTTTTTATATCTATTCTTGGAAAACATAATCTTAACCAGACAAAGACATATATCCCTCTGTACATCCCAGCTGTGCCATTATTTTCCTGACTGTTTATGGAAAACAAGATAATGTGTTTGACAGCCTTATTTTTTTTCCACTGTACTGTTCTAACCTAAGGAATGTTTCTACCACAACCATGTGTTTCCACTTAATATTCACTGTTCTCTGACAATATTATTATTCTAAGCAATGCATGGGAGAGTGATGGAATCCATTCTCCAATTTACAAACATGAGTTGTACTAACTCCTCATCTCCATGGCACCTCTTAACTGCTGTACCTGGTGATTTACTCATGAAAAATTAAAATGCATAACAGTGTCATGTTGCAATTTTTACAGAGGCTGAAAATACCTCATTGTTGATTTCTTGCAGGAGGAATACTGACATTGTCAGAGTGAAGTCACAGCAGACTTTGAGTTCCATCCTATTTGCAAAATCTGTCATAGCTGTAGCTCTTGGGGAGGGGGTTTGATCCACCCTGATCTGCTATGCCCTCTCCCCTAAATAAGATGCAGGAGATTAAACATCTGTGAATGTAAAAGGTAGAAATTCATCTAACATGCATCCCATACATACACACTTAATTTATGAAAAACGAATTGTGACAATGCACGGTTTTATAAAGGATATAATACCATGTATTGCTAGCTCTGTGGTACACTGACATGCATTTTATGTAGGTCTATGCCCTAGAAATTGTCAGCTGTAAAACAAAGCCAATATGCCAAATGCTCAGACTCATCTACTACAAGTTCTTCCCTCTTGAAAGGGAACATAAATGGTACTTACCCATATCTCTGTATTTTCTAGGAATTTATGAGTAAATACACAGGATTTAAGCATTAGCTTTTTCTAAAAGGAAGAGACAAGAGACATTCTCTTGTGCATGTATAATTCTGGTAAATGCGCACATGGAGTAAGCAGTAATTTTCATATGCATTTTTGCAAATTCTAAAAATCCGCTTCAGAGCACACTGCTGTGTGGTATACAAATATGTTCTAGCATCTTCCACTTGCCAGTGAGAAACTATACCCCAGGGTGGATTAATGAATTAATGTATACTTGAAACTCTTCTTCCTCCACGTGCCTTGGAATATGCAGCCACCACTGAATACTGATGTGGTAGCAAAATCCTCATTCTGTTAAGTCAGTTGAAGTCTCTTTGTCTTCCATGGGCTCAGTATCTGACCCATGATTAAGGCTGAGATTTAGTTATGGGTATTTTTAATAAGTCTTGGACAGGTCATGGGCAATAAACAAAAAAATCATGCCCCCATTACCTGTCCATGATTTGTATTACAAATACCCCTGACTAAATCTTTGTTGAAGATCCCTTTGGTAGAGCTGATGGGGGTGGGGATGGAAATGGGGGATAGTGAGAAGTGAGGGACAGGGCCGGCAGTACCACCTGCCAGGGACTACAGAGCAGTGGCTACTTCAGCCCCCCCCCCAAAACCATCCCCCCCATCCTATCACTGCTCCTGATGCCCCTGACTGCTGCTCTAATGAACCCCAGGACAAACTGCCTAGGGCCATGCAATCAGCAGCCAGTGCAGCTAATCCCAGGAACCACCTTAGCGACAGCTGGTGCGGTTGACTGTAGAGCCGCTCCAGCAGTAGTCATTGTGACTATCCCTGGAGTCAGCCACACTGGCCACTGCAGAAGTTACAGAAACGTCTGTGACAGAGATAGCCAGGATGCATGAAAAACAGAAATTCTAGAAGTTGGGATGCCAGAATTTCATGGTTCAGGGATTTCTCCCTCATCTGAGCTGGAGAAGGAAAAGAATTTCAGACTCAGGAGCCTCAAGCCATTATTGTAGAATCATAGTACTGGAAGGGATTTTGAGAGGTCATTTAATCCAGTCCACTGTATTCATGGCAGGGTTAAATTTATAGACCATGCCTGACAGGTGTTTCTCTAACCTGCTCTTAAAAATCTCCAGTGATGGAGATTCCACAACCTCTCTCGGCAATTTGTTCTGATGCTTCCTAACCGTTAGGAAGTTTTTCCAGGTGTCCACCCTAATAGACCCTTGCTGCAATTTAAGTCATTGCTTCTTTTCTGATCATTAGAGGTGAAGGAGAATATTTTTTCTCCCCTCTCCTTGTAACAACACTCTAGGTACAGTTTTGTCTTCTGTTCTCCAGACTAAAAAAACCTAGTTTTTTCAATCTTCCCTCATAGATCATGTTTTCTTGACCTTTAATCATTTTTGCTGCTCTCCTCTGGACCTACTTTAGTGTGTCCCTTTCTTTCCTGAAATGTGATGTCCAGAACTGGACACAATACTCCAGATGAGGTCTAATCAACACTGAGTACAGCAGAAGAATGACTTCTCAGGTCTTGTTTACAGCACTCCTGCTACTGCATCCCAGAATGTTGTTTGTTTTCTTTTTGTAATAGTGTTACACTGTTGACTTGTATGTAGCTTGTGATCCATTATAGCCCCAAATTTCCTTCCACAGTACTCTTTCCTAAGCAGTCATTTTCCATTCTGTACTTGTGCAGCTGATCGTTCCTTCCTAAGTGGAGTACTTTGCATTTGTTCCTATTGAATTTCATCCTGTTTACTTCAGACCATTTCTCCAGTTTGTCCAGATCTTTTTCAGTTTTAATCCTATCTTCCAAAGTGCTTATCTCCTCCTAGTTTGGTATTGCCCACAAACTTTATTAGTGTACTCTCTGTGCCATAATCTAAAGCATTCCTGAAGGGAACTGGACCCAGAACTACTCCCCGCAGGATCCCACTCATTATGCCCTTCCAGCTGGACTGTGAACTACTGATAATTACTCTCTGGAAACAGTCTCTCAACCACCCACCATACAGTAGCTCCAGCTAGGTTGTATTTTCCTACTTGTTTTATGAGGTCACGAGACACAGTATCAAAAGCCTTACTAAAATCAAGATACAGGTAGTCCTCACATTTCTGATGCTTGACTTACAGTGAACATCACTTACAACATTTCTGAATTTACCCCCAGATTTGACTTACGGACATTGGTTTAAACTTTATTATACTCCATCCTGCAAGGGACTGTATTGAAGTTCTGAATTGCAATGTTTTGGCTTATGACTCAGTGTTCAGGAACTAACTGTGTCATAAGTCCGAGGTCTGCCTGTATACATGTAGGGTGCGTCTAGACTGGCAAGATTTTGCGCAAAAGTGGCTGCTTTTGCGCAAAAACTTGCCAGCTGTCTACACTGGCCACTTGAATTTGCACTTTGTAATGTACAAAATCAGTGCTTCTTGCGCAAATACTTGCATGCTCCCGCTCAGGAAAAAGCCCTCTTGCGCAAGAGGGCCAGTGTAGACAGGGAAGAACTGTTTTGAGCAAAAAAGCCCCGATGGCTAAAATGGGGATCAGGGCTTTCTTGCACAAAATCGCATCTAGACTGGCCACAGATGCTTTTGTGCAAAAAGTGCTTTTGCACAAAAGCATCCGTGCCAATCTAGACACGCTTTTGCGGAAATGCTTTTAATGGAAAAATTTTTCCATTAAAAGTATTTCCACAAAATTATGCCAGTCTAGACGCAGCCATACTGTATACTACTGCTTCCTCCCTATTCCCAAGGCTAGTTACCCTATTACAGAAAATAATTGGGTTGGTTTGACATCATCTGTTCTTGACAAATCTTGACTCTTATTTATCACAATTATCTTATAGGAGTTTACAAATTGCTCAATTATTTGTTCCATTATTTTTCAGGATAAACTGACTGATCTGTAATTCCCCCCTCTGTAAATATCTAGAGCCTCCTGCACTCTTCATCTAGATTAATTTATTTTCCTACTTTGTATCTCCGCTGTCCTGAAGTTTCCTTCCACTTCCCAGTCTCCCTCATACACAATCTCTAATGTCATCTTCCTTGCTCAAGCCATCTTCAATTTAGTTCTGTGCCTAATCATGTTCTTGGCCTAGTTTGAAGACTGAAAACCCTCTCCACCCATCTCTTTGCTACAATAAACGAAACTAACAAAAACCTGGGATTTAATACTACTATTTGTATAATGACACCTTCCTAACCTTCTCGGAAGCAATCTCATTAAATAACTCACTCCAATCTATCCTCCTTTGCCTCTGAGGTCTCTATCGAAGTAACTGGCCTTCTTAGGTAGGTCTTTATTAATTTCAGCTCACTGAAGCTCCTTTCATTAGCAGCCACAGTTGCTTAAAGACAGCAGAAACTACTCAGTCCATTTCTGTGTTAGGGAAACACTAATTTAAAGACCTTTTATTAATCTAGTTAAGGCAATCAGTGGGTGCCTTTGTTTCCAAATAATCCTTAAAGTTTTACTTACACAAACCAGTGAAAAACTCAACCTCCATTCACAAAACTCTGAGTTTAAGTGGTCAGATTAGTTGCTTGCTAACTTTCAAGCATTCTTTTAGGGGTTTTCACTGCTGAGTTTTTTCATTGTCTCTCCGTCAAAAAAAGGAAACCCTACTCTCATCTTCATCATACTCATCTTCTCATCTAATAGCAATAATAATGTGTGTAAAATGGAGTTGGAGTGGCATTAAAAAACTCTGAGATTTTGCATTACTTGCCTTTTATTCTTTGAAATTCCTAAAATGTTGTCTTGTACAGCAGCTCTTTCCTTACATGCAACAACAATACCACAAATCACAATTCCAATGCAGCAGTTTGAAGGCCACCAAATAAACAGTCAACCATTTGATCAAGATTTTGCAGAGTCAAAATCTGGACTCTGCAATTTTTTCTCACACTGTTATTTTTGCTAAGGTTTGTGGATTACCTCTCTGTCAAAATGAGGAACAAAAACTCTAAAATGTTTATTTGCAAGCTGTCAGCTTCTGACTTAAGATTGTGTGAAGTCTTGATCTCTTTAAAAGCCTCAAAAGCATCCTCAAACTGATTTTTGTTGTGGATGGATGATCATTTAATCATACTTTGGCATTTTCATGTATTGCTGATATGCCTTTTTAAAACAGCTCAATGACTTGTAGAAGCAGAAAACAGAGTATATGATCTCTGAACATTCATTTTGACATACTTGGAGCTAAAATGGAAAAAGTTGGTGAACCCAGTTTTACAGTTCAGAAAAGGAAGATGGGGAATATGACTGCAAGAGCAAGCAAGTGAAACAGAATGAAGAGGAAAGAGGTGAACTGTACATTAACCAATACTTCTGGCATAACTCTCTCCATTAGGAATTTTGATA